CAAAGGTCACCCTTAAATGAAATGTGAACTGGCAAGAGACACAAGGAGGGCTTTTAGCCACAGGAGCAGCAGATGTTTTAGAAGCAGGAAGAGGTGGTAAAATCTACTAAGGTGGTTGGGATGAGGTAGATGAAGCAGAACAGAAAAGAGCCAATCATAAACGGCCATGTAAAGAGCCCTGGTTAGTTGGTAGAGTGCTCACCGCACGCACAAACCCCCAGGCTCACTCATCAGCATGCATAACCCTGGTATAGGCCACGTACCTAGAACTGAAGCACTCAAGAGGTGGAGGCAGGAGGATCAGGAGGCAGGATGATCCTTGGTGGTACAGTGAGTTCAAGGCCAAGCTAGGTTACATGAGGCTGCCTCAGAAAGTGTTTTTTAAAGGTCATATTTATGGGGCTTCAGTGGTTAAGAGCATTGGCTGCTCTTCCAGAAGACCCAAGTTCAATTCCCAGCAACCACATGGCAGCTCATGACTGTCTAGAACTCCAGTTCCAGGGTATCTGTGACACCTTCACACCAATGCACATAAAAATAAAGTTAAATAAATTATTTTTTTTAAAAAGTCATGGTGGCCAGGCAGTGGTGGCACTGGCCTTTCCCAGCACTCAGGAGGCAGAGGCAGGCAGATCTCTATGAGTCCGAGACGTGAGTCTCAGAACAGCTAGGATGGTTACACAGAGAAACCCTGTCTCGATAAAACAAAACAAAAAAAAATTGTATTTTTTAAAAGTATTGTCTTAGATTCAGTTTCTATTGCTGTGAAGAGATGCCATGACCATGGTAACTCTTACGAAGGAAAACATTTAATTGTAGTGGCTCATCTACAGTTCAGAGTCCATTGTCAGTTACAGTCCATTATCCTCATGGCAAGAAGCAAAGCAGCATGCAGGCAGACGTGGTGCTGGAGCTGAGGGGTCCTACAGCTTGATCCAGAGGCAACAGGAAGTTGAACTGAACCACTGGGTGTGGCTTGAGCATATATGAGACCTCAAAGTCTGCCTCCATAGTGACATACCTCCTCCAACAAGACCACACGTACTCCAACGTAGGCACACCTCCTAATAGTGCCACACTTTATGAGCTTATGGGGGCCAATTCCATTCAAACTACCATAGGTATGTTTAATCACTGGGAGATATCAAGCAGGAAATTTTTTTCAGCCACTGGTATTTATCCAGTGTTAAGAGAAAGCAGTAACATCTTACGACCTAGCTATCCCAGGTTCTACACTAGCCTAATCCAGACCAAGTGCGGGTGAACGACATACACATTTCCTCCCAACCATGGAACTGTGAGCTACAGTCACCATTCCATCAGGTGCCGATGTCTGGCTAAATTTCTGAAAGGCAGAACTGTTTTCACCGTCTGTATCCCGAGCCTATCTGAAAACATTCCGAAGTTGGCACCTAGTACCCACTGTATGATCACTGAACAATTTCTTCCTGTAGGTCCAGCTTTCTAGAACCCAAGGGATCATCTTCTGTCCATAGCTAAATGCTCCGCAGAGGAAGACGTGATGAAAGCCCCAGAAGACCACAGTTCGAGTCCTACTAAAGGTACTATTTGGACATTGAGCAAAGCATATATGCTTTTAGTAATTTAGTAACAGATTGATTTGGGATGGCAGATATGCTGCAGTGCATATGTAGAGGTCAGGGGACAGCTTTCATGAGTCAGTTCTCTTTGTAGTATTTGGGTCCTGAGGGTCAAACTCTGTCAGATGAATGGCATTTACTACACAAATGGTATTTTCCTGTGTAATCAGCCATCTTCATGTAGCATTAAGAGAAACTTGGAAAATAATTAAAAAATAAAGAACTAGAATCAGAAGTGCTGGGGTCCAACTCTGGCCTTGCATTAACTGGTCCTTTAGTTTGGAAAGTCCCTTTTTTCTGAGAACTTTGTAATTTGTAAAATAAACATAGGAACATTCCTACCCAAGTCCCCACCCACCCTTATTTTAAAAACCACAGTATTTTTATGGAACTTAATGGGGTCTCACATAACATTTTATTAGTAGAATGCATTTCTAATGCTACTGGTTACTCTTCAAAAGCAGAGTATTTGACTCATCTACCGCCATATTTGACACATGGCCAGGATCTATAAATAACTGCTGAAAGAATGGAGAGCAAGGAAGCTTAAAATTTTCCTTTGTGAAATGAACTAAACTTCAAATATTCATGCTCCAAATTATTTTAAATAGTCGCTGTGTCATTTCATTTTAGATAGCAGACGTAGCAATTAGCAGAGCGTCTGCACAGCTAGAAGCACTGCCGTTCAGTCTGGCTTTTATTCGGATAATGACTATGAATGCGTTCTGACGAAATGAATGGCTCTGCTGCAGCCCTGCTGAATACGCGCTCACGCTGTTGTGATGCGTCTGACCCAGGCAGAGGACACTTTGAATGCTTCCATCTACAGAACACTGGCCTTTCAATGAGCCCTGCCCCTCACAACACAATGGAGAAAAGTGCTCTGTAGATTGGAGGCACCGGCCAAACCTCCTTTGATTAGTGCTGGTTGGTGGTGACGTCCGCCTTTAATCCCAGCGTTTGAGAGGAAGAGGCAGGAGGATCTGAGTTCAAAACCAGCCAGGTTTACAGAGTGAATTCCAAGGCAGCCAGAGCTACATAGTGAGACCCTGTCTTAAAATACATTAAAAAAAAAAAAAAAGCAACAACAAAAAAAATCAGCTAATGTATGGTGGGGATACAGAAGTACAAATCTACCCAGCCTGAGCCAGACATTGAAGGCTCTGTTACTTTGTACATATAACTACTTACCTTCTAGGTCAAGATGAAAAAGGAGCTTTTAAAAACAGGAAGTCACATAATTATGTTATATAAATCCAACACATACACACACACAAAACCACCATAAAAGCAGCTATTACCACTCCCAGGTATACACAAATTAGAAAATTGAAATCATGGCATTTGCAAGAGATAGAACTGGAAGTTATGTTTTCTCTCATAATGCAGCTCCTAGATTTTAATTATGTACGTGAGTGGGTGGGAAGGTCATGAAAAAGGAAGGGGGATGGACCATAATGGGGGGGGGCAGCTTAAAGGAAAGTTCTGAAGGGGAGAAAAGGGGGACAGTAGAAACGTGACATGAGGGTCAAGCATGGTGGCGCACATCTTTAATCCCAGCATTTGGGAAGCAGAGGCAGGAGGATCTCTGGGGGTTCGAGGACAGCCTGGTCTATAGAGTGAGTCCCAGGACAGCCAGAGCTATTAGAGTTACATAGGAAGACCGTATCAAAAAACAAACAAACAAACAAAAAACCCTTTTAAGAGAAATGTGACATGAAGGTAGAAGGGCTACTGGGAGAAGGGGACCAGCAGCAAAGGGTCGGGGAGAAAGACCCACAAAAAGCACGTATGAAAATATCATTACAAAACCCATCTCTTTGATGCTCATTTAAGAAGGCTTAACAAAAAGCAAACACCTACAAAGCTTTAAGGCTGGATCTCCTTTGGACTCTAGAATAATCCACTCCTAATAAATGGTAATACGTACACCATTTTATGTATGTATGTGCACACATATACATATAACATATACCTGTAATATATACGTATAATCCCAATTCAGTCCTTACCCTTGCAAATGTCATGACGGCTGAATAAAATTCAGGTGTGTGTGTGTTTGTGTGTATGTATCACCTTTTCTTTATTCACCGACCATACTTCTTATGTAATTGTAAACTGAGCAGCCATAAACACAAATGAACAAGCATCTCTGTGGAAGAACTTAAATTCAACTTTGGACTTGTCTTTATGGTACCTGTACTTCTGTGGTTTTTGAGAAACCACCACCGATTGCCATGGTAGCACCAGTTGGCTCTTGCTCGCTGTTTCCATCTTCTCCACGTTAGGCATTCCGACTAGTGAGGACAAACTTCCAGTAGCTGTAACTTGCATTTCCCCTTAGGTGTTTATTGTCCATTTGCTTCTTCTTTTGAGAACTACTGCTCAGTTCATTAGCCCATTTACTGGAAGACTCAAGTACTTTTTAATGCCTTTTTTCTTTACATATTTACTTTCAATATTTAGCATCTTGTTCTGTCCCAGCATGAGAGCGCCGGGCATATTAATTTAACTCTTGCTTATTAAAGACAGGGCTTCGCTATGTAGATCTTGCTGTCCTGGAGCTCCCTATCTAGATCAAGTTGGCCTCGAACTCAAAGATCTGCCAGCCTCTGCCTTCCAAGTGCTGGGACCAAAGGTGTGCACTGTTATGCCCAGTTTAATTTAACTCTTTCCAAGCAATTTCCTGATTATATTTTCATCCCCATCTTACAGACGGAAAACAACGTATCTAGATGTGAAGATACTGTTCAAGATCTAAACCTCAGCAGAGTCAGGCTCTCTTAATCGGCCTAGGATTATATATATATAATTTAGGATATAGTTGTCTAACTATACGAATTCACATTGCAATATACCATGTGATTGGTCCTCACTCTAGTCAGAATGATTAAAGGCAAGAAAATTAACCCAGGTGAGGATGGAAACCGTTAATGAGAATGAACTGGAGCAGCTACAAGGACACTCAGTGTGATGGTTTCTCGGGGGGTGGGGGAGAGAAAACAGAACAACAGAAATGGGATGGGGTGGGGCCTAGCGGTTAAGAGCACTTGCTGTTCTCCCAGAGGACATGGGTTCACGGCCCATCATCACCTTACAACCACGTGTAACTCCATTTCCAGAGGATCCAACATCTTCTGAACTGAGGAGCACCAAGCACACACATGTAGATATACATGTCTGCAAAACACTCATACACATAAAACAGAGAGACTGAGAGCGAGGGGGGGGGAGCGAGAGCAAGAGCGAGAGAGAGGAGAGAGAGAGAGAGAAAGAGAGAGAGAGAGAGAGAGAGAGAGAGAGAGAGAGAGAGAGAGAAACTTGGTAGAGCTGAAGAACTGCCCTTACACAAACACACACCAGGAAAGTCAAACTGATTAATTAAGACACCTGCCATAGTTAAGTGCTGATCCATTTATTTTGCAGAAATCATCTGCTAGGTCTGGGTACTCTGAAAATCTAAAACACATTGAAAAGGGCATGTTATTTTAGTCGGAAGAATTCACTTAAAATTCTAGTTCTGTCATTTATTACCAAGTCATTTAATCTTTAAAACACTTTACTCCACTATTAGACAGGTATGTCTAAGCACAAACACCACCCTGAAGTGGTCTTAAAGCTAAGCTGTGGAGAGCAGTGCTCTAAATTGACTAACCATGAAAAACCATCATCACGATACAAAATCAACTAAGCAACTATTGCCACTGAGTGAGAAAAGGATGGATCCCTAAGATGTATTTCCTCTCATCTATAAAGTTTGCCATAAAACACAAGGATGATAAACTTGTTTTCTAGTCAAGCACATGTCTTTAATTCCAGCACTCAGAAGACAGAAGCAGGAGAATCTCTGTGAGCCAGCCTGGTCTACAGAGTGAGTACCAGAACAGCCAGGGAAATACAGAGAAACCCTGTGTGTGTGTATGTGTGTGTGTGTGTGTGTGTGTGTGTGTGTGTGGTGGGGGGGAGAGGTTCTTAGAAGGGAGACAGAGTGTTTACAAAAGTATTTGTCAACTGTTATGAAAGAGGTTACTTAGTTGCCAATTGTTTTTGACTGGGCAAAGTAAGGGTTATTGGACTAATGTTTAAAGAAAAAAAATAAAAAAGGGCAGGTAGGACATTTACTTAGAATCTCAGTGCTGCCAAAACAGAGACAGGCAGATCCTTAGGGCTTGCTGACCGTTAGCCCAGCCAACGTGGACAGCTCCAAAAAATAAAAATGCAACCAAGTGAATGGAGCTTGAGGAATGACAACCGAGGGTGAAGCGCACTTGCATGCACACACACACTCACATACACACAAAAGAATAAAGAATGAGGGGAATGACAAGAGATTTCATTTAAAGACCACTATCCACAACTAGAATTTTTCCTATTTTTCTTTTCTACTCATAACTCACAGCACAGATAGCAAGAGAGTCGGTAATATAACAACTGATGTTAAAAAAAAACAATATATTCAGCCATAAATTAACCAAATGACAAGTTTTATACAACTTATGATACATCATTACATTACTCAACAAAATCCAGATGGTAACAAGTTGGTAACTGCGATCTATGGTTTTAAGAATTTGTTTGCTGAGTTGGGCAGTTGAGGATGATTATCATAGCTTTTCCAAAGAAACTAATCCAAACACCAGCACACCTGCTAAACCCAGTACTCAGGAGGTAGATTCAAGAGGTTAATGAGTTCAAGGCCAGCCTCACAGCAACTTTAAGGCCAGCCTGGATTCACATCTCCTACAGCAGCAGCAAAAAAAAAAAAAAAAAAAAAGACAATAATGAACCTAATCCTGGGAATTTTCCTTGAGGCCTTTAAGGACATTTTGGAGACATCAAAAAGGAATTCCAGAAGAAAACATAGAGTGCTCTGTTTAGAACACAACCTATCTGGAGAAACATTCTTCTTTAGTAAGTAAAGCTTGTAAGTCAGTCTCACAGCGATGCTGTAGTATGAGTCTAACTCTTCTCCCAAAGGCCCACGTGCTAAAAGCCTGTGGCACTACTCGGAAGCTGTGGAAACTTTAGGCCATGCCCAGTGGGAGATTTTAAGGCACTAAGGTGTGTCCTCGAGGGGCACTGAAAAAAACCCTTGTCTCCTCTTCTCCTTCTGCACCCGCAATGAGGTGAATAATTTGCTTCTAGCATGTGCTCCCTGTCACAATAGGCTACCTCACTACAGGCCTGAAGCAACAGGGCCAACCAACCTCACACTGAAACTTCTAAATCCATGGCCCCAAATAAACCTTTTCTCTCAACAAGTTGCTTTACACAAGGCATGTGCTACAGTGATGTAAAGACAACGCAAGGAGTATAAGAACACGAGATTATGCAGAAAATAAGCCAAAGAGCCACACAATTTCAAGATACTACTCAAGGACTAATCAGGAAACAACAGTATCATCAATGAGAAGAAGCCAAAGCAATCAGACAGCTCAGCATGAAAGGTACCTGCTAATAGGCCTGACAACCCAAGTTTGATCCACAAGTTTCCCCTGATGTTCTAGGTGCATTTGACCTCCATACACAGGCCATGGTATTGCGCCTCTTCTCCAAATAAAAAGTTTAAAAGTTGCAATGCAAAAGTAAAATCCAAGAGACCAGATCAAATCATTTCTCTATTTAACTTATTAACTATTTTGCACCAGGGAGCTAGAGAGTTGGTTTAGTGGTTAGAAGCACTAGCTGCTCTTCCAGAGGACTCCCACATGGTGGCTATCGCCAGCTGTAACTCTAGTTCTAGGAAATTCAATGCCCTCTTCTGGGCACTTTGGGCACAAGGAATGCACATGGTGCACAGACATACATGCAAAACACCCACACATAGAACAAGTAATAAAAAAAATAAGTGTTTTGTAGTAGATAAACTGCAAAATATCTTCTTAAAAAATACTTGCATTTCCTTGAGAAAGAATCTCTGAGCCAGGCACAGTGGCACAGGACTGTGATCTCAGCTCTTGGGAGGTAGTGGCACGAGGCTCAGGAGTTAGAGGTTACTTCGGCCTATGAAGTCAGTCTGAGACCAGCCTGGACTAAGACTATCTAACGACAAAAGTCAGGTCTGCCTCTACAAACACACGAACCACACTTTCCTCCCGCAAAACTTTCACTCTACAAATCCCCTTGGAGTTGGGTGCATAGCTCAGCGGAGTACGTGCCTAGAATGCTTGAGGCCCAGCTTTCAAGCCCCATAATAATAATTTTAAAAAGTTCATGTGCTGTAATTGGAAAGGCCACTACTTAAACTGTCTTAAACAATGAGCTGTTAAGTTATGAGCTAGTGAGGTGTATGGAACTTGACGTTTTAGGGAGTCACTGTTTTCTACAACTGACTGCTTTCTTACACACAGCTACAGAAAAGCCACCTATTCCTCTAAGAGCAAATCCCAAAAGAAATCCAGCAAATAAATGCTGCCAGTAATAGAATTTCTAATTATCATCTGCCTGTAAATATTTTACCCTCAAACGCTTTTTACTTGCCTTGACATAACAACTTTTATGGAGGAGTATTTGTTTTCAGAAATTTGTTGTGTTTTTAAGTCTGGAAAACAATGTACTGGTTTTCTGAAATCGTGATCACAAAATCATACTATCTGCTGCTAGATCTTTGAACATTAGGAAGCCTCAGCTTATATGGGCTCTAGCTTTTCTAACAATATTTAGGATGCTTATTCATACAGCTGAGAGAGTACTCTCCCCCGGAAATGTCAGTGATAAGTGGAAGCACCTGCTCAGCAAGGCCGAGCTTCTGTACCTGCCCAGCAAGGCCCGGTTTCTGCACCTGCCCAGCAAGGTCGAGCTTCTGCACCTGCCCAGCAAGGCTGTTTCTGCACTTCCTCACATCCCTGGTAACTCTTCGTCCAGACCAGTGAGCCCTCAGGATGCACACGAGCTTTCCAGGAGTCTCCTTCCTTCCCATCATGGAATTTTCAGAGGCTAGGATCTAATCTGGGTGATGCCTTATCTATCAACAGTATAACAATTTAGGTGATAAAACCAGAATATAACAAAGGAGGTTTTACCCAAAACTTTAGGTTTTATCACCTAAATTCTACTACTTTTACAACAGACAATACTCAGCTTAAATTATAGATGAAAACCTTTTTAGCAATTAAAAAAGGATAACCATATAAACAGTAGTGTTCAATTTCTTTTTTAAATACTCAGGTCTAAAAACGGATGATTTTAAATTTAATCTTTTGGTATAAAACGACTACCAATGGTACTAATGCTGAAAAACTAAATTACAAAACAAATACATGATCACAATTTAAATTCTTTGGATTGTTTATCTCTAAGCCCCGACATTTAATACAAAAATTTAAAACTTTCCCAACCACACATGGTAGTGTTAATATTTTCTATGTAAAAATGTTGTCCTTTGGGAACTCTGTAAATGCTCACAGCTGTCACCACGGCAGAAAGGAAAGGTGGGGGCTGAAGGGACAGCAGTGGCACAGTGTGACAGGAACAAACACTGCTAGGGACCTTACGTCGACTTCTCTATTGTTCAAAAACATGTGAGCATCTTCTAGCTTCATCGGCTTTCCAACTGTCAAACAAGTACCTTGACTTCTAATCAAGCAGATGAGTCCTAAGACTTTCTAAAGGATGGACCTCAATTATTGGGTCCCTTTTACATAGAAGGCCAACACTGATTTTCATTTCTATCAGAATGAGGGAACGTTCACTAGAGTCCTCAAAATGTTCAGGGAGAAAACACTTGCAAAGCTTTCCCGGTCCATACAGAATGATCAGAATGTAACGGAAGCGGCAGAAGATCCAGAACGCACATCAGTCATATTTGATTCTCTCTATTAGGCGGTCCTCCTTGTAATGGGAAATAATCTGAATCAGTATGGAACAGTTGATTAGAAGAAAGAACAAACCCGCTAACCAAATAAACAGGAAAGTGTTCTTGCCTTGAAACTCTAGCACATATGCAGGAGTCAGCCACAAGGCCTGCCCTATAAACCACAACATCAAGAGGACTATGGCTCTTCTCCAAGGGATTCTCACTAGTGGCATCACCAGGGGCAGAAGGCAGAGGTACCAAAGGAAGTACTGAGAGGTGCAAACTTTGTTAAAAGTCACAAAGATGGATGTGTGAAGGAAACAACAGAAGTCCAGATCTCTGTAATAGGCAAAAGACACGGCTGAAAGCAGGATGAACTGTGGCAGAAACGCGGCGATCCCCAGGGTGAAACTCCACTTGCTCTCTGCCGTCAAGTACAGCATATAGAAGTAGGGAGAAAAGTTGTGGCGGATGTCCCTCCTGGTCAGGTGATAGAGGTAGGTATGCTCCAAAAACTCCCAACCGTATTTATAGTAAAAACCGAAGCTCAGGGCAAAAAACGTGAGTCCCGCCACCGCGACAAAGAGCAGCACTGCCCAGCTACACAGCCTCTTTAGGAAGTCGTACAGACGAGCCTGGAAGGAGTAGCGGGCTTGCCGGAGGCTCTCGTCGCTTTCGCGCTCGGGCCGCAAGTGGAGCGCTATGGGGAGGATGTAGGTGACCGGATACATCTTCATGTGCACCGCGAAGCCATAGAACACCGCGGCACACGCGATCAGCCGCTTCTCTATTAAATACAGGGCGGTGAGCACCAGGGAGGCGACGATGGAGTCGGCGTTGCCCCGGCTCGACACCGCCATGGGTAAGGGATTAAGCAGCCAGAAGACGCAGTAGCCACAGGCCTGGCGGCGCCCCAGCCCCTTAAGCAGCAGCAAGCGGTATAAGAGGAAGGCGGTGAGGAGATCGCAGCTGATGAAGAGAAACTTGCCGAAGAGCTCGCTGAGGTAGATGTTGGGAGTGAGCAGCCAACTCAGGAGCGGCGTGTAGCGATACGTCGCCCTCAGGTAAGGCGAGCGCCCTTCCGTAACGAAACGCGCGGCGTCCGTGAACACATGGTAGTCGATGTCGGTGTACCGCACCAGTAGAGTCCGGTCCTGGAAGACACCGTAGAAAACCAGGGCGACCCTGGCCAGGAAGGCCACGCCGAACACCCCGGCGGGGGGCACCCGCAGGTTCAGGAACCGTTCCCCCCAGTGCCTGGTGTAGCTCATGGTCTGGATGCGGCTCAGCCGCCAGGCCCCGGCTCCACGCTGCGCCACCCGCTCTCTAACCGTCCTCCACCACCCTGCACTCGGTCTCCCGGAGCATCTCCTCCGCCGGACTGCGAACAGAAACAACCCGGGAGCGAGCACTTCCGGCACGTCGTCCCGCCCCCACGCTACTTCCGGCCTCGAGCGGCTTCTCCGTGGTCCCCCCCACCCCGCGGAACAATTACCTTCCTCGGGATTGGCTGTCTAGCTTCGCTAGCTTCCTCCGGCGAAGGCGGGATTTCCGGTCCCCCCTTTGGCCACACTTCAGCTGCCCGGAAAGCCCGGAGTGGCTGAGCTGTTGGGGAGCTGGGTGAGTTTTGTTTTTAGTTACCGGTGATGCCGCGCTCCCTCCCGACTCGGGTCAGCCGAGGAGGACTATCGGCACAGAGTAAACTGGGACCTGCTGCCTACATCCCTCAGAACTGACTTGGAGGACTGAAGGTGAAAAATGTAGATGGAAAGGAAATAAACCTAAAATAGTTCTCATTTTTGACCCTTGATAGGAATGTTCCTACCAGAATCCGTCTGTGCGGTCGCCCCTGGAGTGCCCTCAACTCCCGTTCTTTTCTGGCATCCTTCACCTAAGTCAGAATCTGCCCTCCGCCCACCCCGTTCCATCCCGTACCCCCACTAGTTTCTTGCCAAGGACTCCAACTCTTTCATTCTTTTTCTGGTTACTGCACTTAGAATCGACTTAAGAACTTCATACTTTTAGAATATTTCCAGTTTCAACTAAATTGTAGGATCCTTGGGAGTAGAAAGTGTTTATTTCTTTGTACATTCCCGTAATGTAGTACAGTCTCAGACACGTGGTAACTGACCCGGGCTGGCTGGCTTGAGCTTACAAATTGAACCTGCTCCTAGGGAAAGTTTGGAAGATTAGTATAGAGGTGGCTCCAGTCAGTCTGGACACGCAGCTCTCATCCTACGCTTCACATTCATCCTTTGAACAAGCCATACTAACCTCATATTTTTATGCTTCTATCCTTTAATATGCTTTGATGTAAGTATACGTTGTAGATTAATAACTACTTCTAGTCATTTTTCACCATGCACTGATCATATATACGTTGATGACACATTATCATCCAAATAACAGCCGTTATGATTCATAATAGCTATTAAGGACTAATTTACAATTATCAGACACGCTAACTATTTTTTAATGTAAAGTAGGTATTCTTATTGTTACCAGTGAGGAAAATCAGAGTTTACGTAGAGTAAATAAGCCACATAGCTGACTAACAGCAGAACTGGAATTGAAATAGGTCTGTCTGACCCAACATATCTTAATTGCTGCTTGATGAACTTACAAATAAAATGCCGTGGAATTCTGGTTTTGCTCTGTGCTTTGTCTTCTTAATCTCACCTTGAGATCCTTCTGATAACCGCTCTCCTTGTTGACTTTTTATCCCTGGTTTGTTATTTTCCTTTGGGAGTTATAGGAAAGTGAAGCTTAGTCTCAGTAGAGGATGTAAGAGTAGTGTCTGAAGATTAAGTAAGGGTTCCTCTGGGTGGATTGTCTTAGGTATTTTGGCAGAAAGGCCTCGGCTAATTATCCTCTATGGCTGGCCTAGAAAATAGGAGAGACATCGAATTCAGAGGAAAAGGTAACAACTAATCAAAAGGAACAGCCTATTTGGAGTTGAATGAGTGAGATGCAGAAAACAGCAGAACTCTTGAACAGATCTCACTCCCTGCCGTTAGTGTCCAACCTGTGGAGTGTTTTCCACAGATTATGTGTTTTGGAATATGTTAATGACCTGTTTTGTATTAACACATGCTAAATGCTTCACCCTTGGTATCTGTATTTGTTTTTTACCACTTGTTTCTCACAAGTGTGTAAGAACTACAGATTTGGGATCTGGTTATTTTATACGTCTGGGACATTTAATATCTCTTATGGCTCACTTGTAGATTTATCAATGAGTAGGGATTCAGTTTTTCCCCTCTCCCCTTTGTCCTTCCATCTCAAAGACTAAGAGTCAGTAAGTATTACTTGTTGCTTCTTGCCAGCGTATTGGGGGTTGGATATTGATCACAACCTTCTCAGGCTCATGCTAGGTAAGAATAGATGAGAAATCCATGACTCTGAGACTTGGAGACAGAAATATCTCCTGCTTAAAATGGGCTTCCATACCCTTTAGGATGTGTAAGGAAAACATCCAAAAAGTATTTCCGAGTGTGAAAGAAAAGCAATGGACTCAAATATCACCGTCTAAAAGGGACAGTGTCCCAGATCCAGACTAATTTGACTCCTGGAATTAGCTGAGCCAGATTTCAGATTCCTGAGTCTTAGTATTTAGTAAGTCTTGCCCTTTAAGAACTGGAATTTCAGGCTAGACAAATGGCTCAGTGGTTAAGTGTACAGGATGCCCCTCTAGATGACTCCAGTTCAACTCCCAGCATTCACTGGCAGCTCACAATTGTCTGTAACCCTGGTTCCAGGGGATCCATGGCGCCAAGCCTGCACATGGCACACACATATATATGCATGCAGGCAAAATGCCTATACTCGTAAAATGAACTAAATTCTAAAAAGAAGAACTAAATTTGCAAGCCACAGAGTTGGCTCAATGGGTAAAGGTGCTTATCCTGCCAAACCTGACAGCCTGAGTTTGATTCCCTAGACCCCACATGGTGTAAGGAGAGAACTGACTCCTGAAAGTCATCTCTGATGCCCACAATGTACACCACACAAACAAATAAATAAATAGGATGTTTTTGATAATTTAAAGACTGAGTGTGGAATTTATTTCTTAAAGGATCTTAATAAGAGAAAGAGCAAGAAAAGGGTTGGAAAGACTGGGGGTACTGGTACTGGAATGTATGAGTGTAAGGGGAAAACCAGCAAGAAAGGCCGGCCTTACGACCAGAAGTTCTTGCAGCAGAGCTGAATTGAGCCCTTCCCTCCTATAAGTCAGCCTAGGAGTTCAAACCTTGATACAAGATAGGTTTCGATGTCTAAAAGAAGATACAGTGAGAACAAGAGATTCATCCAGTTTATTTAGTAGTCTCTTCTGAACAGACAAAAATAAACCAAAAATACCTCACACATCTTTTTTCTAAATACATTGGACCTGGTTTAGTCTTTAATGCAGTGTGTAGAAAAAAAAGATCATTCCTAGATACTTCTGCTTCAGTAGTGTTGGCCAATAGTGGGCCTGGAAGCCCAGTTAACTGTACAGCATAGGTAATGTGTTATTTTGCAAAGAAATTAAGCAAGCTAACAGGGGTAAAGGTTCATGGTAGCAGTTGTGGAGAAGGTGCAATGTTCCTGGCCAGTAGCTATATTATGACTGCTTTTCTTTCTCTGCTGATGTCAGGGAAACCCGTGCATAGTTTCACTAGCTGAAGTGGGTTTCAGGGAGTGGGAGGGGCAGTAGGGAGCAGCAGGAATTAGGGGTTTCAGAATCCTCCCATAGAATTGTACCATCCTTCAGGAAAGATGAAAACCGCATTCTTCATAGAAGAGCCTCCAAGCCAAAGCATCCCATCTGCCTCCCCACCAGGACAGGAACTGTGATATATGCAGCACCCTCTTTATGATTCTTGTACATAGGCTTAGGCCTCTGTCTTGGAAGTATTTTGAGCTCAACAGCTTATCAGTCCTGGCATTTGTATTCTAACAGTAAGGTTTCCACTTAAAGCCTCCCTCCCAAATACCAAATTTTCAGCTTCTCAGTTTTTAGTTATGGGGCCTAGAGCTAGAGTTCCTACCCTGGTGGAAGAATGGGAAATGCAGAGTACTTCAGGAGAAAAAAATGGCAGGATGTTTTGTTTGTTTGCTTGTTTGCTTGCTTGCTTGTTTTAGAAGTTGTTCAGCAGCAGGTTGTTGCAGGAATAGGTAGAACGTAGTATGAGTGATAGATTTTCCTAGATCTTCATGGGTAGGGCATTTCCCTGCCCCATTACCTCCTAGCTCCTCTCTTGTCCTATCAGCACATTTCATCAAACCTTGATGGGTGCGCCTTTATTTATGAAAGGGACAACAGAGTCTAGCCCTCCCTTTTCCATAAATCAAACTTAAAACCATCAGCTACTCTCACCGCTCTGCTGACCATAACACAGAAAATCCAGGTATTCTACTCCATAAAACCAAGGCAAGATATTTGTCCCTTTGCTAAAATCTGAGTACTTCCTTTCTGTACATTCCATATATGTGGGTATATGTACATCTATATACATATCTTTCTATATATTATCTCTGTTTTTCTCCATAGATAAACATATATATCATATCCCAATTTCCCACGTTTCCACCCACCTTGTCTGTGTCAGTCATAAGTAAGACTCTGGGTTTCATTTCACTGGGTCCCTTAGCCTCATCTTTCTCCTTTTCACACTCTAGATATCCTTCCCCATTGGTTATTTTGCCCCCACTTAGAACCCTCACCTGCTGCTGTCCTGACGCTCTAAGTCTATATGGCTTGTACAGACAGGGAACCCACTTCTCATCCCTCCTGGCTGCTAGAAAGCTTGTCCTACATCCTGAAAAAGGATTCCAGGTCAGGCGACTGGGAGAAGGAGTTGTGCCATGCAGAATGTTGGGCTTGTGGGAGAAGGGCGCCATTCTGAATTAACAGGATGGAATGACTTTAGAAGGGCACCTTATGTGGAACATATACACATTAGAGTTTTACTCAGCGGTAAAAAACAATGACATCTTGAATTTTGCATGCAAATGGATGGAAATAGAAAACGCTTTACTGAGTGAGGTAACCCAGACCCAAAAAGAGGAATATGGTATGGACTCACTCATAAGTGGATTCTAGCCATAGTTAAAGGTCTTTGAGCCTATAATTCGTGATCCTAGAAAAGCTAAATAAAAAGGTGAACCTGAAGAAAATCATATAGTTATCCTCTTGGATATTGGAAGTAGACAAGATTGCCAGGCAAACTTGGGTGCATGGGGGGTGGGGGATGGAAGTAAGGGGAGATGGTTAGAGAAAAGGGAGAGGGGGAGGATTGGGGATGGCTTGAGGGAATGGGATGGGGGGAGGGAGGAAGGATGGATATGGGAGCAGGGAAGTATATATCTCAACTAAGGGAGCCATTTTAGGGTTTGCAAGAGACTTGATTCTGGAGGGGTTCCCAGGCCCAAGGAGAGGTCCCCAGATTGTTCCCTGGGTAGCAGAGAAAAGGGTGCCTGAACTGGCCTTGGCCCATAACCATACTGATGAATATTTTGCATATCACCATAGAATCTTCATCTGGCGATGGATGGAGATAGAGACAGAGACACATATTGGAACACTGGACTTAACTCCCTAGGTCCAAATGAGAAGCAGAAGGAGGGAGAACATGAGCAAGAAAGGCAGAACCAGAGGGAACCTTCATCTGACGATAGATGGAGATAGAGACGGAGACCCACATTGGAGCACTGGACTGAGCCCCCAAGGTCCAAATGAGGAGCAGAAGGAGGGAGACCATGAAAAAGGAAATCAGGACCGCGAGGAGTGCGTTCACCCTCTGATACAAGGGGACTGATCGAATGAGAGTTCACCAAGGCCAGCTGGACTGGGACTGAAGGAGCATGTGATCAAACCGGAGTCTCTGACTGTGGCTGACATGGGGGCTGACTGAGAAGCCATTGACAATGGCACTGGGTCTTGTTTTGTCTGCATGTACTGGCTTTTTGGGATCCTAGTCTGGTTGGATGCTCACTTTCCTAGACCTGGAGGGAGAGGTGAGGAACTTGAACTTCCCACAGGGCAGGAAACCCTGACTGCTCTTAGGACTGGAGAGGGAGGAGGACAGGGAGTGGGGGAGGGGAGGAGAGGGAGTGGGGGGAATGGGAGGGTATGGGGAGGAGGGGAGGAAGTGGAAATTTTTATAAACAAATAAATAAATAAATTTAAAAAAAAAAAGAAGAAGAAGTGCACCTTAGAGGAAAGCCTGGGATTGTAGAGGAAATCCCAAAGGGGTTAGAACAGAAAATGTTCTCTTCTCACATTGTTAACCAAGAGTTGGAGGAGAGGTGGGCCTTGGGCAAGAGACTGGGAAGAGAGTCATCCCTTTGGAGGGAAGCAGCATGTACAGAAAAAAACAGACAGAGGAAACATCACCAGTGGATACACACACAGCAGTACACTTGGTCCTTGCACACCGAACGCCACTGGGTAAGAGCAGCGTTGAATGTATTTGAGAGCAGCTGGTTCTTTGTCTGCTGCTTCGTTTCAGACGCTCAGGTTCTTCTGGTTCTTGTCTTGATGCGAGTTTAAGGATAATGGTGAGTTTTGCAGGAAGAAGAGGCTGAAGGCTCTTCATTTTCAAACTACAGTTAACCAAGTTCAAGGAAAGACCAAAGTGAGCGGACTGTGCACAGCTGGGATGGGTTCGGCCTCAGGGCTTCTGAGTTCTCTGCAAGGCCTTGCCCGAAGAGACGTGTATACATTCTGCCTAAATGTATTTCTTGTCGTCATTTGTCAACTCCACCTTAAATTAACTATGTGTCATCCCTGCTGGAATTCCTGCTATACCATCTTCTGGGGGGTTCCTGTATACCTAACTGGAGCCAGAGCTCACTGGTGCTTGGGGCTTTAGAACAGGGCCTGGTGCTTATCTTGCCCTTCCCTGACCCCTGCCACAGTCCTCAGCAGAGAACTGGGTCTGATCGTAAATTGTCTTTTTAACTCGCCTGAGACCAGCCCGTTGGCAGAAGAGAGAAGAGATGACGCTGGCTTCCATTATTTTGTGTCAGCATGGCTGAGATCAGAATGTAAGCTCCTCCCCATCAGCATCGCCTCAGAAAACAGCTGGCAACTTTCCAGAAGGGCACCAGGAGGTGTAACAAAATAGTGGCTCTCAGCCCGAATTCTGCTTCAGTCCAAACCCTGACAAAGCATCACAAATTCCCAGAGGCTCTGTACAGCAAATCTGGAAATCTGAGAAGCTGGTTCATCTTTCCTGGCAATCTGTGCCTTGTGACTAGTTTTAATTGGCCAATGTTAAGAAAGGGAAATGGCTGTATTTCCCTCTCTTTCTTCAAAAGCTTGGGTTAAGGGATGAGGGGTCTGGGGTGGGTAGGAAAGGAAGAAGAGGAGCCAGGTACAGTGTAATCTGGAGTGGTATTAGATATTTCCATGGGGCCTGAACACTGGACTTAGAGAACCTTGGTGGCAGGGCATAGTGGCTCAAACCTTTAATCCCAGTGCTTGGGGGTAGAGGCAGGTGGATCTCTGTGAGTTCAAGGCCATCTAGGTCTACAGAGTGAGTTCAAGGACAGTCAGAGCTATACAGTGAGGCCCTATCTCAAAAAAAAAAAAATTGGGGGGGGAGGGAAGAATGGAGAGAGAGAGAGAGAGAGAGAGAGAGAGAGAGAGAGCGCATTGGCTAAGGCCTTCCTATTCACAGGGCACAGTAAAAGAAACCTTCCCAGGGCAGGGCCAGAGTTTTAGACAATAGTTCCAAAATTGAATTTTTCAGAAGCCAGGATGGGTGCCGGAGGGGTGGTGGCTGTTCATGTTTCTCAGATCAGCCCAGATTCTATGGAAACAGAGGCTGAGAAAGAACTAGGAATCCTAAGAAGATCCACTTGAGAACTGGAACGGGAAAATACGGCAGTGACCAAAAGTCTAGGTTATGTCAGGAGTTACCAGCTGAAATTAAATACACCATGACAAACCCTGGCTTCTTTCTTCGGGACTTGGGAGCCCAGGGAAAACTGATTTCAGATTCTGAGAGCATAGTCCATAGAATAACTCTCTGAGAGAGTTTTGCCTTAGGGGACTTACTAGATGGAAACAGAGATGGGGGAGCTCCAGTCTGACGTCATCACACTTTCTAGCAGTAGGGGCTGGGGGAGTCTATCCATCCGATCATATGGCCCTCCTAACGTGAATCTCCAAGCATGGCTGAAGCTTTCCAAGCCACTCAGCCTAACCTTCTCGCTCCGTCCCCCATCCTGGCTTAAGAGTCGTGTGCATTGGCATAGCAGCAGAGGCAGGTGCGAGGACAGAGAGAGGGAAGCGCAGGACTGTGCTACTGACCGACCACCGAGTTAAGGAAGGGGAAGTAGAGGACGGGTGCTTCTGGGGTTCTCCAGCGAACCCAGATAGTCTCCTTTTCCCAGGGCACTGAAAGAGGAAAAGGCCAAAGGGCTGGGGAGGAGAGAATAGGAAGTCAGACATTGCTGATGCGCACACTAAGGGCACTGCCTTCCTTTTCAGCTTGCTCTCTTAATGATTCTTCCAACTTGAGCTTTTCCGGGTCTCCATAGCGCACAGCGCTATCGCGGAGACCACCAGGGGGAGCCACTTTCACAACCTGGTCGAAAAGGCTGAAGTCCGCTATGTATTTGCCACTGGCTGAAAGTGAGATAGCCGGTGTGAATTCGTAGCCCCAGAGGATCTCCTCCGGCAAGTAGGAAGTGCGAACTTGACAGGTGGCGCTAGTGGACTCCACTGTCCCACTTAGGATCAGCACCAGTTCAAAGTCCCCCTCCCCACTGCGGAGGGGAAGATCTTTCAAGGGACTCGTCTCATCCACCACGTGGTAGAAGGTCAGGGGTAGAATGAGAAAGGGGCTATCAGAGGCTGTGTCTACCTGGAAAGTAACGTTGACCTGGTTGAGCCGGATATTCTCACCCTCCTTTGTCTGGTGGGTCTGAAGCAGTTTGCCCGTCACCTGGCATCCAATGAGGAGACTCTTCCGCATATTAGCAACTCGGATCATAAGGCAAGGCTTCCCGTTGTGGGAGGCTACCACTGCATGCTGGCTGAATCGGATAGTCTCAGCCCTCTTCTTGGGCCGGGCAATCTTTGCCAGGAAGGTACCTGTGATGAAGATTTCAAGGATGGTGGTGAGCACCAACTGGGCAATCAGAAGCACGATGGCCAGAGGGCACTCTTCGCTGATGTAACGGAAGCCATAGCCAATGGTGGTCTGCGATTCGAGGGAGAAGAGGAAGGCTCCAGTGAGTGTGTGCACCTGCACTACGCAAGGGGTGTGGTTGGCAGGGGGGCCCAGCTCCAACAGGTCCCCGTGGGCCACAGCTACCAGATACCACACTACACCAAAGAGGAACCAGGTGCCTGCAAAGGTTGCAGAAAAGAGCAGAAGCTTGTAGCGCCATTGCATGTCAATGAAGGTCGTCCATAGGTCCTTGAGGTAGAGGAAACGCTTGTCAGCAATATGCTCCATTCTGACATTGCTACGGCCATCTTTTGTCAGGACCCTCCTCCGACGTATTCCCGGGGCCACTAGGGGCCGACTTTCTGTCTGAGTCGTCTGACTATAATAGACCTTAGCAACTGATGTCATCTGCAGGGAACAAGACAGCGTAAATGAGGTGATTGTCTAAACCCAGCCAACTCCTAGGCACCACCCAATGGGAAGAGGCACTAAGATTTCCCTTTAAAATCTCTTACATTTATTTATGGGGGAGTGCTTAAGTGTCACGTCCCGAGGACAAGTTGCAGGATTTCATTTTCTCCCACCATGCGGGCCCTGGGAATTGGACTTTGGTGGTCAAGCTTGGTGACAAATGCCTTTACCTGCTGATTCAAAGTCGTCTTGTCAGCTCTGAACCTTCATTTTGATGCCTTTTACCCTAGCAAATATTTATAGAGCACTTTTAAATGCCAGCCACATGAGGTGCCGGTAGGTCAAGGATGAAAATGACATCATTCCTGCTAAGGACCCACAGTTTAGTGAGGACGTGAGTTAAGTACATAATTGCAATACAGTGTAATATTCTTTTGATTTGGGGAAGAGGTGAGACAGAGAAGAAAGAGCAGGAAGTGCACAGGTCCCTGAAAGTAGGAATGAAAACTCGGCTGATCTCCACCAAACCCAAAACACACACATACACACACACACACACCACTCCTGTGGAGATGCCTAATTTAATTTAAAGTAAAACCCCTTCCCCTCTGTCGAATATCAAGGCAAGAAAACCTATTCCACTGAAATCCTTCTAGAACAGTCCTGTTTAAGATGCATGTATACGTTTAATTTTGCTATTCTCTCTTCTAGTACTGAGTTAATGGCCATAGGCAAGAAAATGGCAGATGGGGTCCATTCCCCTGCCAGTCAAGCACCCAGCCTCATTCGCCATCATCCTTTGTTTGCACCACCTGGGAGAAGTTAAGTCTCGGCCAGGGTCTAGCATGGTGTTAGAAAGAGCGCAGAGAAGATCTGAGCAAAAATAATATGCAGGAAGGAAGCAATGGGCTGAAGCGTCCTGCCGGCACCAAGACCTCTCCCCACTGTTTAGCAGCGATGCCAGACTGTAGGCAGCAAAACTGTCTTGACTGAGTGAAGTGAATGCGAACTCCGTGTTAGTCAGAGCTATGTCTGCACGAGCTCAGATTCAAGACTGCTCTTCGTCCTCACAGTAAAAAGTGGGCCGAGGCACTGAAATAGGAGACAGTTCTCTTAGTACAAGGCATCTGGCATCCCTGCCAGAAAGTAACTTTGTACTTTTCCAGAAGCGAAGATTTTCATCATTTAGACTCCGAGTCTGGCATCTGGAACTCCTGCGAAGGGTGAAGATGATCTCTGGGATTTGGGCCTCTTTGGAGATCAGAGCAGCCGTTGCATTCCCCACCCGGCACGTCTGAACAACTGCGGTTCACCATTGTTCTTTATCAGACTCCCTCATTTTCCCCGTGGCTTTCCCCTGGGAGAGTCTAAGTTATATGGGCCTCTCCACGTACTCCTAGCCACACAGGCACTGAATTGGAGATCACCAACGGATGAGGATCCTGAGAACATTCAGAAGCAGCCAGCCTGCCTGTTTTATGAGTCTGGAACCCATTTGAAATGCTTATCCATGGGAGACTGCTACTCAGCCAGACCCTAGAGTTCTTCACTATATTATGGCCTTGGTTCTTTAGAGCTCTATAGCTCTAAATGATTCCTATTTAGAGCTTAAATAAAGCCCTGCTCAATACTCAGAAACTCTAATAATAACAACCACCTACCACAATCCACAGTTCACACATGCCATTGCAGAGTCTGCACCTAAGAAGGTTGGCTCGCTGGATGGTGGTGGCGTACACCTTTAATCCCAGCACCAGGGAGGCAGAAGCAGGTGGATCTCCATGAGTTCGAGGCCAGCCTAGTCTACAGAGTGAGTTCCAGGAAAGCCAGGGCTACACAGAGAAACCCTGTCTTGAAAAACAAAAGACAAACAAACAAAAGAATGTTTGATCCTCAAACTCTTAAGGATGTGAAACTTATACGTGAGAGTTTGAGGAGTGTTGGGGAACAAAGGAATTGCACAGTTAGATATAAGAGACTATCTAATTTTCATAAATAAAAATGAAATATACTTCATAAGCTATAGACAAGTGGGCGATACGGATCCTAGGAAAGATCCTAGGATAAAATACAAGGAACGTGTGCAACTAGACAGAACGAGAGAACAGAAGTTGTCGGTCAGACTCACTGTGACACAGAGAAAGACTCACAGTGGGTATAGTGAGAACAAGGCATATCAGAATAACATAATTTCCTTCTATGTTTAGGCTACCAAATTGACAAATCAACAAAATATGCACAATGTGTAGCTAAAGCTCAGCAAGTCTTTTTTTTTTTTTTTTTTTTTTTTTTTTTTTACAAAATCTACCGTTATACCTTTGGGAATAAGATAGAGAAAAATGACCAGGAGGATAATGTAATTAGGCGGTTTTAAATATTCAGCAGTACTGGTGAGGAGAGCCCAAGAGCCTAGAATTCATTTCCTAATGATGTAGCAAAGACATTCATCCTTGATCTTGCCCTATTCTAAGCTCTTAACACCAACTTCAAAACTAGAAAACTTTGTGGCCATCAGTTATGTGGATGGCACAAACCTAGGACAGTCTACAAGGACTGGGCAGAATTCGGATCTAAAGAGGACCAGATGAGTGAGCCAGATCTAATAAAACAGATAAATGTTCGGTTATACACTTGGGCCTAAAGATTACATGGGAAAGTTTAAGATTATGAAGATGTCACTTTGTCATATTACCATGGGGGGAAAAAGGAGAGATTTAAACATTTTAGAAAAAAAAATCCAGTATGAGTTATTCATGCCAAAAAGCAATACAATCTTAAGCTAGTTTGGTTGAATGACGTCTCTAGAATAAGGAGGTAACTGAGTCCACTCTACTTGGTTCACTCCAAGTCTTCAGTATTCCAGCAATCAAGATATGAAAAAAAAATTCATGGTCAGATCACATGGGAAACGGTTGGAGGAAACAGACGATTTTGTCAAAAGAGAAGGTGATCTGGAAGAAAGAACAGATGTGTGTGAAGTAGTTGGCTTGAGGGGCTGTCACATACATAAAGGTTCAGATTAGTTTTCTGAGTGCTGAGAACAAACATGACCAATGAGCTCAGACTGTGGGGAGGAAGAGCTACACCGAAGAGAACACTATAATCAGATCATCCAGACGGGAGGCATCCCAGGGAGGTACAGAACATGCCGAAGTATGTCCTGAGATCCTACAGAGGAGATGAAAGTTCTTACTGGATACCTAATGATTAAGCTTCCAGCCACACCCATGGGGAGCATCAAGAATGTCTCCTCCTCCCCACCTCTATCCCTGAACTTTCCGTGGTGACATTCAGGGATCTCTCATCTAAGCCCTCACTTTGGGTTCAGAGGAGGTGCTACATATCAGGAAGAACGGGGGT